ATATATATATATATATATATATATATATACGTCAAGAAATTTAAAACTGTTTTTGTCTAAAGTTGGCCATGGGCTATGATCGCTTTATCAAATAAGACTTTGAGACTAATTTTCTTTGTACTGGAATTTCTGGAATAGAATGTCTCTAACTATGCGGAGGACGCTCCTGAGATTGTTGTTCCCACGGTCCTTGATTATGTTAATAGGAAGGATATCGTTCCTGGTACCCTTGATGTGGGTATGGTGGATATCCTTGCTGTGGGTATTGTGGGTACCCCTGTTGTGGGTATTGCGGGTACCTTTGTTGTGAGTCATAGGTGTTCGTGTACTGGTCGTTAAGTGGCTCGAATGAGTATGGATTCGGTTGAATACAATTCGAGTCGTTGGGACTTGGAAGATTGTGAACAAGATGAGGCATCATCGAAGTGTCTAAAATGATAAAATTGAACTCTTGATTACGACCATGGTGATACATTCGGCCAAGAACAAAAGTCTTTAGAACATCCTTACGTCGTTGGTTTTGTTCAGCAGTATTTTTTAACACGTAACAAAGACCAAAACAACAGCATGCCGCAAGAACCAAAGCCGCAATTATTCTTAAATCATCAGTTCAAGTAAATTTTATTCTTAGCAATCTCATAAATTAAAAACAAAACCAATGTCGTTTACCCACCCAATAATCCATCCTATGCTTTGAAGCCCGAAATCTTCATCGGATGGACAGCAATCAGTACCACAGCAGACCTCATATTGACGTTTACAAACCCAAGTGATCTGCTGCGGGCGAGTACCATTCGGGTATTGCAACTGAAACGCAGTTTTAACTTTACAAGTCAACGAATGGCATTTGACACATCCGGGTAGATTTGAGTGCGCTAAGCCATGTGGGACGCATCACATCTACACCATCGAAGGGCGGCGTCTTCGCGTTCAGCATACAACAGGGAGTTGTCAAATGTCGAGAACGCGATCGTGAAAAAGCGAAAAAAGTGAAAAAGAAAAATGATATTCTCGGTCGTTTAAATGAATACTATTTCTGGTGGGAATATGTTGATCAGTGCATAAGATGTCAGGCCGTATGGCAATTTTCAAAAGCCAGAAAAAATCTCAGCACTGGATAGAAAACCGGAACTACTTCCATGCTGATTTGTATTAAAGATCCGTATGAAGCTGACCATTACATCAAGTATAAAGTGGCTGAGAAGTACAAGATCTGGTGGTGAAAGGATTTAGCGCATTTATCTTTCAAGTATGACCTCACACGTGTGGAATCGATCGCCGCGCCCATGGCCCACCAAGCCTTCCAACTCTTCGGGGTCGCCAAATTGGTACCAGACTTGTCTGGGAGGATAGCAGCACTGGCTCGATACATCAGCAGGCCACCACGAGTCATTGTAAAGGCCAAATATGCGTTCAATCACCTCCAACGGCGTTACTCAATGAAGTCGAATGCATGGCGCATCCCTCAGGACGCCGAGAGCTCTATCCTTTATCCTTTCATCCTTCAAGTATGTGTTTTTTTGTTCGGTCTTAACCAAGTAGCAGTAGAAACGAAGCTTTACTTCAAAAATCCTTGAAATAGAAAAAAACAAAGTTGATGAGGAATTCGTGGCGACAAAAGGATAATGATGCGTCGATCTCAAGCCAGAAGCCTATCTACTGCAGGTAGTCCAGTAGTGCTTAGTTGAAATTAAAAATGTAAAGAAGAGAACAAGTAGATGACAAATAATAAGCTTTTCCATATCTTTTATGACAGTCAGGAACAAAATTGTTGGCCCATCACTTCCCGTTCGCCATTTAAATCCAACTGAATTCGCCCTTGCTATTAAAATTTACCTTGGCACCTCTTCCAAACAAAGGCTGTGAACACCACACATAGACTGAGCTAAACAACTCTACGAAGGATCGCTTGGCAAACGTTCAACCGTAGCACTGCTCCAGAAATCACTGAGATTTTCCCGCTATTCGCAATTCAGTGGAAGCATACAGTCAATAAAAACAGCCTAACGCACAACTTGCCCCAGCGAACATGATGGGATGCGCCCAACTTTGTGAGGTATATGGCATATGAATTGAATTCAACTCGTACTAATTACTCTGCCTTCCAACAAATAATCCCGCTATCGTCTCAGGTTTTTTCGCTTAATAATTCGACTTCTACGTACTTTGCTTGCGATTTCTGGTTTTTTCTTTTAGATTCCAAGTCCCCTTTATACTCTTGTAAGCGTTGTTTTATGCATATTTTTCGAACATTTCCATCGATTGTGCGTTGTAAAGAAAGTTCTAGCACTGGTCCATCAGGACTCCAGGGAGAACTGACTCGACCACCATTCAGTGAGTTTTATGACGAAAGTAAAATCCTCAAGCAGCAACCGAATTCGCAAGACTCTACGGCTTGACTAACAAACCTCTCTCAAAAACAATTTATTTACAAATTATAATCTATAAGAAATAGCTCTTATGGGTTAATACCTTTCACAACATCTGCGGTGAATACGATTTGAAATGTATTGATTGAATACGAAAAGCATGGTGAAAACCTCAGCGCAGTGAAAAAAACGCGAAAAAGAATATGAGTTGAATTCAATTCATGCCGCCTATGCAACATCCCAACATATGAGATGAAATCTGCTCATATTGTTCTGTTAAAGCTATCTTCAAACCATCCATGGAGAAAAAATACGGGAGCAATTTTTTTAAAACCAGTTGTTTATTATTAGAAAATATTTCTATTCATCGTATAGCATTGCGCTCAACGCAACCAGCTATAATGTTTACCCTGAAGCCGAGCAAACCGTTGAGAGCAACCAGCCGAATTGAAGCAAGATGGCTGTGCAGGTAGCACTACCACATAATAGAAAGCTTCCATGAATTCCAGGTAACCTTATGAATAAACTAAAATGAAAAATAGACGACTGGAATGCACTATTTTCTTTCTGTTCTTTCCATTTTAGAGAGCGATCGTAACATGTAGGAAAACAGTCTGGGAGACGGGTTAATGTATTCGCTGGAAATACGAATCAGATATGTCCGCAGCTGGTATGCCTTACAGATCCAACCTTTTGACACAGTTATGAGCTAGTCATCTCAACAGATGACGGTACTCTTAATGGAACGGTTAGGACAAAAGACGTGCTGAGGAGCGTTCAACCACAGCATCTTAATCGCCTAGTAAATAAACTAATGGTCGCATGACCATACAGGAATTGCGTTTTGATGGAAAAACGCACGGTGCACTGCTGAACAGGTGAACAAAAAGTTACATTTTTTAAAATATCATCTGGTGCCATGTTCGTCGGCGATGGTGACGTCGTTGTACTCGAGTTCAACTGCCGCTTCGCCCTTGCTTGTTGTTTTGAACCTGAGAGCTGAAAAGAAGTTTAGGCAAGCTATTTAATAGGACAATACAAAAAATACACTTAGGTAAAGAAGAACGAAGAACCATGAAAAGCGTAAAGGCACAGCCTATAGGAACACTGGTTATCTAACAAAGCACTGCAAGTTTTCAACAAATACTTAAGTCTACGGTCTCCTTAATTTATTCTTAACTGGGCCAAGCTCTTGTCCGACAAGATTTCCGTGAAGTAATAGACTTCTAAAATCAATGAACTTCTGATCAAGTATGCGCGAAACGCATCACAGTGCACTTTCCCAATATTTGCTGTGTTTCTACATTTGGGTCCTCGTACTTTAAGATTAGAACAAAATTGAAAGCACTAACCTTCTGCAACTCGTCTATGGAAATCGAGCACTCAATATCACTGTTTCTCACATTTGGGTGCTTATCCCAGTAGTAGTTTTGACCATTGTAGTTGAATGGTGTGGACAACGATTGAATAATAGCCTTGCCTGCCTCGAAGGCCAACATTCCTAGAACGTTCTTCTGATTATCTAAGTTTTCTCACTGTTTATTCATGAAGAACTTGCTTGAATGGCAACTGCACACTATCTTATTGATTCGCACTCTTGGTGCTCGTATCATTCTTGATTTCAACCCATTTGTTTTCACATATTTCTTTTAAACACAGAGCTTTTTTAATCTTGTTTTCCCTATTGAATTGATAGCTCCAGCACTGATATTCTATCAGGGATCAAGGTGCAAGATTATTTTGCACATTTTATAATCTGCGGAAGTCTGTTTTCGGATGACTTTGCTCATGAAGGCACATACAGCATTACTGGCAAGCAGAGGAGCGTACTAAGCAAAGTACCACAGATGAGGAAAACATTAGATGTCACGTACTGCACAAACACAAGTATGTGGGTCCCAACACGAAAAGTTTCCTTATGTAGTGACTGGGTAGCATAGACACTGTCGCTATTGAATATACTTTCATTAAGCAAGGATTGTGATGCCTTTCGATATCAATGCGCTCCATTCGCTTCGTAAAATTAGGCGTCGTCGAGAATATTTTAAAGAGCAACAATTTTTAACAGATTCGTTATAACACCTAATTCCTGTTCGCGAACGAAGCCAGTTATACCCTGCATGATGAAAATTCGATACACAAATACAGCAGGGACGTCTTAGTACTCTTCTCAGTAGCAACGGTCTATTGGTATTCCGCTCGTACACTAGGCAGAGGAACTACTTTGAGACGCAAGACAAGCGAACTCGTTGTAAAACCTGCCATATATATATATATATATATATATATATACACACATATTTATATATTGCAACATGCGGGAAGAAGGCTTTTTCAGCCAATGCCTAGGGCAAAATGTGGTGGTACCTTACTGATTTAGTACAAAAGTTATTAGAAAAAACAACGGTGAAGAATTGCATTATGTGACAGATAAAAAGAACGAAGGATAAAGCTTTCAGCGTTGATCAATCCTTGAGGGATGCGCCATGCATTCAACTTACTTCATTAGGCATCGTTCGGAGGTGACTGAATGCAAGTATGGCCTTAACAATGACTCGCGGTGCCTATCGATGTATCGAGCCAGTGCAGCTATCCTCCCAGACAAGTCTTGTACCAATTTGCCAAACCCGGAAGAATGGAAGACTTGGTGACCCACGGACGACGGGATCGATCCCATGTGTGTGTCGCAGGGCGCCTCCGATCACTGGTCCACACGCGCCCATATATGACCGATACGAGCCAAATGGCCCCGACAAGTAAAGGCTATCTATGGTTCGTGTATCCAAAAGGTTTCAATGGATACTCTTCATAATAGTTTGTCTTATTTGAGATTTTCTTTCAAGTTGAACATTATTGTTCGTTAACATGAAAGAACATCAACAAACGAGGAGCAACTCAAGGAATCATGTCACGAATACATCTCAAGTTGTGTAACTGCCATGCATATGCTCCTCTCTGTGCGCAAAGCCTGGTAGATAGGACTGTACAGGATCATTTCCTGCATTTATTTCCGTTTTCACTACAATTATGTCGAGGATAGTTTGAAAATGGAAGACGACTAACTACATAGTACCCTTCTGTTCTATCTATCACCTGGAAGTTATCAAGAATTTGAAATTTTGCTTCTCACAAACTTGAAATATCTGAAAGTGGAAGAAAAATTCGGTTGCTTTTATTGTATGTTTCTACCATTATCTTACTGCCATCGTACTGTCATATTACTGAACTAACAAATCCTGATGTAGAATCTGACAGACATTCCTCAACATCACCTCCTACTGCTCCGAGAGCGCCGCCGATAAGTGCATTTCGAAACGAGTTCCCACTTGAAAAAGAGCCAGGTCCGTAGCCAGGACGAAATCTGGATTTCAAGTTCACTGCATAAGTCATATCATCGCTAATACTGGATTTTTTTCTTCATCACTTACCCTGTACCGGAGTATCTGCCTGAACCAGACGGCATGCCTCTTCCACCAAAGCTCCTTACACCTGAGGGCCTTCCAGCTGGAGGCCTTCCAACTGGGAGTCTTCCACCGGGTGGCTTTCTAACACTTCCTGAAATTTAGGCTTGAAATTGAATTTAGAATTACATGTCTAGAATCCTAGTTTACCAAATGAGTTTGCCAAAGGCTCTAGAGGCTTTTTTAAGGCTAAAGGCTTTTTTATTGCAGGTGAATGGTGCTTTCTCGAGGAAACATAAAGGAGAAAGGATAAAGCTTTCGCTGTTACTCTATCCCTGAAGGATGTGCCATGCATTCGACCTCATTAAGCATAGTTGGAGGTGATTATCCATATCTGGCATTTACAATGACTCGTCATGGCCTACTGATATATGGGGCCAATGCAGCTATTCTCCCAAACAACAAGTCTAGTACGAATTTGCGATCCGGTAGAGATAGAGGGCTTGGTGAGCCTGGGGCGTGGGGATCGATCCCATGTGTACTGTAGGGTGCCCCCGACCACTACACTACATGCTCCCAGAGGACCATAGCCAATGTGTTCCAAGCTAAGTGTAGATTATCGGGATAAACCAAACACCACCCTAGATTTCCCTGAAACTTACTTAAAGGAATAGTCTCACTTGGATCCTCTGACATGTGGTTTACGTATCACTTCAATACATACTTGTGCATAGCTGAACCTATCTGAATGGGTGTTTGTAAAATCTCTGTATTGATTCCGATCGGGTCCTCTTAGTTACTGTAGCAGAAAAGACTGCACTTTAATCAGTGGGAGGTAGACGAGAAAACCTATGGAATTCAATACTCTCTAGGCACCAGTGGCGAGTTGGTGAACGTAGTTGGTTACTCAGCGGTGAGTTATCTCACTGCTTGGATTAATTTCTGCTTAGATGAAGACGATTACATTAATTCAAAAAACCGACTTTCTATAAGCCTTAGTATGAATAGTTGATACATGTATTTATATTATCTTGTAAACTGGTCTTATTGAGCTGATGTGAAGTTGTCATAAGTTTCCTTTGATGTTGTTGTTGGTGTTGTTGGTCGACGGCTGACGTTTCGGCGATTTTGCCTTTCACAGAGCGTGGTGTTACGAGTGGGACAACCACTGTGTTGTTCAAATGGAGTGACGAGTGAAACCCACCCGAGTCAAAAGATCTTTTTAAGAAAAGGCGCCAGGTTATGTCTGTTAGTGAGTAATTCGTCTTTCCGGTTCATCCTTGTACCTTTGAAATCTCCAAAACGCTAGGAGAGTCTTGCACGTCGATGTTTTTGATGCGCTGGGATCCAGACAATCACTTCAAAGTCATCACCATTGTGCTTTGCTGCTTGTTCAGTTTTCCATCATAATGTTGTTTAATGCGAACGTGATGTGGTCTACCCGCTTCCCCTATGTATTTTTCACCGCCTGCACTGCATGAAATCAAGTATATTATACCTGAGATCAGACAATCCCTGTCTCCGCTGTTATGATAGATTACACATTACACAATTTTTCGAACTGCACAAGCGATCATAGAGGCCGTTGCGCAAAGCCGTCCTCTAGGTACACATAGGGCACAAAACACAATGGCGAAGATTTTAAAGTGACTAACGGAATCCCAGCGAAAGAATCAAGGACATTAACGCGCAAGACTCTTGAGACGTTTTGTGTGAATTTCAAAAGACCAAATATGAACCGAAAATACGAATGCCTTACTAGCATACGTGACTCGGTGCCTTTTCTAAAATGGATTTTTTTCACCTGAGTGGCTCTGACTCATCATCCTATGTGAGCAGCACACAAGTGGTCCCACACGCAGCAATCCGACACCCAGGAACACCTCTCATCCATGATAAGGCGGTAAACCGTTGGGAGGTATTCTACCGAGCTTACACAAGATTGTTATATAACTTCTATTCGCTCAACGTTTCGAAGTCTTCGTCTTTATCAGAACCGATGATTTGAATCGGTGGGCCACAGTTATTCGTCATTTCGATATGACGTCTTCATAGTCGTACCGAGACGGTTCTTCTTCAGTGAACACCGCACGAACAACGCATGCTCACCAGGCAACGCTCTTTTATTCAGAACGCTGATTGTTGATAATGCCCAGTGATAACAACCTGTTTCTCTTTTCGGATTTTCGTCCTACATGATCCGAACTGGTCATGCTTCTATCCGGAAATGACCGACATGCAGCTCTGGATGGAAAATGCACTACTGCTATTTCCATGCGAGCATCAACCGCGATCTCGTGGGGATAGCAGATCACTGAAGCAACGCAGTTCCCTAATCCTAAACGCCCACTACTGCATTCTAGTAACTGCTGGTCATTCTTCCATGGCAAGAGTAGTTGAGGAGTGAAGAACCTGATAATCTTGTAGAAAATATGCCTAATCGCTCTAGGTTCACGAATGATTCTTCTAAAATGTTCCTCTGATCTTAAGCCCATTTAAGGTAAAAAGTAGTAGGAAATTGAAAGCGAAATTTGTTTTTAAGTGATGGATGCTGATTGTTGTTATAAGTACAGCAGCCGTAAACATCAGGCCAAATTAGGATACATCATCCTCCCTGTTGTACTTAACACTGACTACACAATCACCTCGACATCTGAGATGGAAATGTGAGCCCCAACGAAGAAAAACGGAAAAAACATGTTCCATATGCTTGAAAAAATCGGGGCATTGTAGAACCAAAGGAAGTTAATCTTGTTGGAGAAGACATGCAGTTTTCGATGCCTTTTATTTCGATTAATAAGCTGAGAAAGAGATAGAAGCCGTGATATTATTGTTTGCAGTTGAAGAGCCCAGTTACCTTCGTCTTCTGGTGCGGGTAAACGGAACCAAATAGGCTTAGACTGGTTCGAGCAAGAGATCACTTTGATTATTGTGGTTGGTTTTTTGCTGTGAGACATATACTCCGGCATGTTTTAAAAATAAAATCATAGCACTCCAATTCCACATATCATTGCTTTCATCGACTTATTTGCTTTATGTGAAGCCTTTGTAGTGTTTGCGCTTCCCTTATTTCCATCCGATTTCAGGACGAAATCAAT